TATTAATAGCAACACAAAAAAAAAAATAAAAAAAAATCAAAATGCAAAAACAAAAATAAAAGAAAAAAAAATACAAAAACAAACAGAAATGAAAATTCAAAAAGCAAAAAACGAGGGAAAAATCTATGTTTGAGCTATTACTCAATGTTACTTTCAAATAGTTTTTCATTAAAACAGTCTGGCTAATTGGTTCTCCCAAAGCCAAAAAATTTTAAACCACACACACACACACTAATGCCACCTAGCAGGTAGCTGAAAAAGATAGTACATAGTACCACTACTCGCCACTAGATGTCGTTAAGTGTCAATACACAATAATAATTGAAATGCAAAAAAGCGTTAGTTTGCTTAGGTTACGCACTCTGCGACTATCCTAGTCTAGAAATGTAGTTAAGGGCAGAAATTGGCACTTGGAACAAATTGAAAAATCATTATGACCCGAAGGTTTCAAAGTTTGGAGACCCCTGTTTTAGAGCATTCAACCTCACCATTCATTTCATTATAATGTTGTTAAGGTTCGAAAATATATTATTCAGTCTGTGTACACCATTTAGAATAACGGTCAATAAGTACTTAAAAGTAAAATAAGTATCGAAATTTATTTTATGAGTGTTTATAGAGTGTCAGCTTTAATTTTAACGATCCTAACCTAACCCAACCTATCCTATAGATCAATCCAAACCACGTGACCCAATATGGCGGCGTAGGGCAAACAATCTGATTATTGTCATAAGAGCATCATTGGTTTTGGTGTCGTTCGCTATTGTGGAGTGTTTTTACACATTTTTGGAGCTTTTGTGGTGTTTAAATTCGATCAAAATGAAAAGTGAACACTTGAAATCCTCCAGTTACATATGTGGATATTGCTTCGTATTTGGTTTTTACCCACAGCTTTTATTCACATGTGCAGATGAAAGCATATACAAGTTTGGAATCGTATAAATATTTCGAATCTGGCTTCGTTGTGAGGGTGGGAACAAAGATTGAGAACAATTTATACATTTTAGTTGGACAGGTGAGTTTTTCTAAGCTAGCAGAATGCTAATTTTCTGATTTCCTGATGATATAGTCAATTCATCTAAGAAACAATACACGTGAAACTGTGTGTATCCACGATCAGCTATGCCTGTGAGTTGTTATGTTTATTGTCTTCTTTGTTGATCAAGACAATGATTCAATATTAATTTGAATGTCCCAGAGTCATTTTTACAGTAGATAGTAATCTTAATAACTTATTTTCAGGTCAAGCATTCACAGAAAACCTTCAGATGTTTGGTGCATCATAGCAAAAGATGGAAATATATGTACAGCTCACTGTATTTTGATGGCAGGAAATAGTGAAGTTTGTACTCACGTTGGCGCCATATTATTTGCTGCTGATTATGCAAATACCGAAAGCGGCAATGTCATGCACATATATAGAAGCTGTGTGGCCAATGCCATCCATGACACAGATGTTCCCAAGTGTACCAGTATATGTACAAATACTATGGATTTTCATCAAGTAACGGCAAAGTCAATAGAAAATATTTTGAATTGTTGAACTTGTTTTGTTTGAAAAGCTCTATTTTGAGTTTTCTTGAGANATATTTGATGAGTTTCGAATAGTTTCAATTCACCGCTGAAAAATTTTTTAACACCTTCAACACAGAATAGAGGTCACAGAAACTTGACCATTCAACATCAAACTGCTGCCAGATATGGGTGTCTCTTTGTAAAGTACGAGTATTCCGTACTATCCATAACCTATTCCACGTCAAAACACATGCAAATTTCAAACTGACAGAAAATTTCATCAGTTGACAGTTTTGTAACAATTTCTACAGAAAATTTTAAAAATGATTAATTTCTAGATTATCATAAAACGAAGATTCAACCTGAGAAAGATGACCGATTCATTTTAGAAAATCAAAAAATGACATCAAAAGACTTAACGGTCACTTTGAACTCTGGAAGTGTGATGCCTATGGTTGGACGTGAGTATTCGCTAATCAAAATTACCTATACATTTCCAAAGGACGATGTTTCAGTTGGAACTAATGGTATCAATGGATTTAAAGATATACTGGAAGTCCTGGATTATGCCTTGGAAGCAGGATACCGACTTATTGGTAATATTTTCCCAATATTCTTTAATTCAGAATATTAAATCGGTTTTTAATTTTACAATAATCATGGTTTTGAAAAATCAGAATGCTTGAAAGACACATAGGTGCTTTCTGGTTTAAATATACAGGATAGCCCGTTAGAGTCAAGAAGTCCAACAGAGCATATTGCTAGCCAACAAACGAAATCAAGTTTTGAATGAAAGTTATATAATTGATAAAGATACAAATTCTAAACTGTTTTTTGTTAATACAGGGTAGGGTGTATTTGGTGGATATTCTCAACTATCATAAATACAACATTCAACTGATTTCTTTATATGCAACCGGTCTTGTTTCTATCGAATAAAGCAATCAAACAATTTCCTAGACATTCCTTTTCGTGGCTGCCTATTTCAGAAAATGCTTTTTTGATAGATTCTCGTTGCTATGTCTGTTGAGAATCTGTCAGAATCTTTCGAAAAATTCATCACTTTTCAAACTAAAACGCTTCAAACGATCGCCACTATTTGGTAATAATGACAGTTATAGTAGAAGTTTTCCTCGATAAAACCACTGAAGATTGATATCAGTAGAATTTTGAATAATTGAAAATTCCGGAAAACGGCTACTAGAAAGTATTAGATAACACGAAGAATATACAGGGTGTTTCACAAAAATTTGAAATCTCTTATTTCATCTTGCTTCTCATACTCCGTGAAATTTGCCTAGCAGCCAGTTCAGTATCTTCGTCTAAGGAAGAATGTTCTTTTCTGGGCACACACTTTACATATCCTAACTCAAAGTTTTCCTTTTATTTTGCCCACCAATTCCCTGTGAAATAAAAAGCAATGAACTTGTAGAAGAAATCATTCAATTCTTCAATAATAAAGAGATTGCGGTGAACGTATTCGTCAACATCGAAGAAGCATTTGTTAATGCATTACGCAAATCTATCATACCAGCCTTGACTGATAAATGGCATAAAATCGACCAAAATGGATCTATATCATGCTCGATTCTTCATGATGAAGCCATTTGGTTCAGGATCCCCCTAAGGGGGTTACACCTGATAGTCTGATGGATGTCCTTGAAAAAAAAATAGATCTGCAGATGACTCCGTCATCCTGGCAAGGAACGCGTCAGGAAAGTTAGCCTGTAATATATTTCAAAGAATACTGGACGATTTTAATAGTTGGTACCAGGTGTCTGTGAAACCCAGCAAAACTGTGATAAACTTCTTTACCAGAAAAAGGAATGAAATTTAAATCCACTTTTTCAATGGTAAGGTCATTTCATTTGCAGCGTATGTAAAATATTATCAGAATATTACCCACGCTCACTTGGAAAAGGTTCAACACTAATCCAGAATATCTCTAAAGATATATCGAATCCTTTGGATATACCTAGGTACTGATTGTCAGAATAATTGATACGGAGCAATTGCGAGGTGGCTGAAAAATGTACAGCAAATGGCTCAGGCGAAGCCCTTTGGTGTACAGAATAGACTTGCCTGGTTAACCCTGGTAACATTAGCGGCCATGGAGATCCTTCTACACCTACCTTCTCTTCACAACCTTCCGGTGAGAGAGGCTGGATAGACAACATAGGTTAGGTTAGGTATACTCTACTCTTTCATCGTTGATGAGGTAGTCCGATAGTCAAGGTGCAAGATTCCCACCTTGATACCCGCGACAACCTTCCCATATGAGGGTTTTTGCATGTCAGTGATGCCTTAGATTCAACCATGCAGGGCTTTTTCGCCTTTCGTTTTGGTGAATCATCACTTGAGGGCAAACGTTTGCTAACTTGCTCATGAGGGGTTTGTTCCTCCACCTGAGACAGATTCCGCCACTCAAGAATTTGGTGCAAGGTGGTTTCATAAGGTACCCCGCTCTTGAGGAGACGACTCAGTCATTTCCTGGCTGCATCACCAACACTTTTTTTAGGTTCAGTTATTGGCTCAGGAGTTGGAGAATTGAGAAGCTCTCGCTCCTGATCTGAATTTACAGTTAGGTCAGTTGGGGTCGTAAGCTCGACATCCATCTCCTCTATAGACTCAGTACATGGATGTGTAGATCATGCAAAGAAGTAACTTTCAGACACAAACTGAAAGAAAGTCCTCCTGAAACAGCTACTTTCATATAAACATTGAATTACACGAAAGAAAAAATTCTTTCGAAACAAATACTTCTACATGAACACTAAATTATACAGAAGATACTTTTCTCTATTCGGTTTGTATATCGAACATTTGTTGTATCAGATGGAGTAGTAAAAAGCCAAAAACTTTATTCCCATCTCTAAAGATAGATCGAATCCTTTGGATATAGGTACTGATTGTCAGAATAATTGATACGGAGCAATTGCGAGGTGGCTGAAAAATATACAGCAAATGGCTCAGGCAAAGCCCTTTGGTGTACAGAATAGACTTGCCTGATTAACCCTGGTAACATTAGCGGCCATGGAGATCCTTCTACACCTACCTTCTCTTCACAACTTTCCGGTGAGAGAGGCTGGATAGACAACATAGGTTAGGTTAGGTATGCTCTGCTCTTTCATCGTTGATGAGGTAGTCGGATAGTCAAGGTGCAAGATTCACACCTTGATACCCGCGACAACCTTCCCATATGAGGGTTTCTGCATGTCAGCGATGCCTTAGATTCAACCGTGCAGGGCTTTTTCGCCTTTCGTTTTGGTGAATCATCACTTGAGGGCAAACGTTTGCTAACTTGCTCATGGGGGTTTGTTCCTCCACCTGGGACAGATTCCGCCACTCAAGAATTTGGTACAAGGCGGTTTCATAAGGTACCCCGCTCTTGAGGAGAAGACTCAGTCATTTCCTGGCTGCATGACCAACACTTTTTTTGGTTCAGTTATTTTGCAGTAGTTGGAGAATTGAGAAGCTCTCGCTCCTGATCTGAATTTACAGTTAGGTCAGTTGGGGTCGTAAGCTCGACATCCATCTCCTCTATAGACTCAGCGTCAGAAAGAAATTTTAAGGTTACTCTGTCCATAATAGTCCCACGAGTAGCTAGGGAAAGAAGGTCAATCACGGCAGAGCCCCGCATTACCGTGACAAGGCGATGCTACGACTAGAGGGCGCCCGGTATCTCGAAGGTTCTGTAGAGACTGCTGATAGGCTCAGTGTCATTCAACCTCTCGGCACGGATACACACACATTAGGATTAAGCCCTCGTTGGGATGCCATTCAGTTAGGGAATAATAGAACCACAAGTGATTCTGTCATTCCCGTATCCAGCGGGGCTACGTGGAAGCAGGCATCCGATGGCCGGTTTGTTCAACCCCCACATCCCATGCCAATGCACTCGCCAAAAACAGCATGCACAGTGGTTAAGGCAGTGAAAGATGAACAAGGAGAGCCAACCCGCCTAGGATAACATGCAGCATTGCACAAAATGGGCTTGAGTGGGGTTGAAATCAACAGCATTCGGAGAATTAACTTTGTCTTTAAGCCTCCAACTGTCAACTATGACATACACAAACTTTATTTTCAAAATATATCACTTTCGCTTCCACAGTAGCTTTCATGTAGTGAATAACATACTGAAAGGTCATTCTTTATGACCTACTATGACCTATTTTATACAGTTCTGCTCCCTAGTAGAGATACTTGGATTTCTCGGGAGAGGGGGAAAGCATGTGTCTGTAAACCCGAGCAAAACTCCACCAGAAAAAAGACTGATTGGATGATTTAAATGCACTGTCTTCCATTGGTAACGTCATTTTATTTGTATATAGCGTAGGTGGAATGCTTACTTGGAAAAGGTTTCACACGAAGCCAGATTGTCTCTTCAGTTATGTGGAAGGAATATCCAATCTTCATTAAGAAGGATGTTATTCCATCGTTGGTTTCGGCAGTGTATGATCTATAAACAACATAGGTCGTGGGCTGAAGACATTGTTAATTTGTTTGGTGAATTGATTTATTCATACGGTGAACGAACTATTTGTGAAAATGTATAGTCTCCGTTTTTTTAGAAAAAAAACACTAATGACTTTGGCTTGCTCCATTTATGTAAAAAAGGGGGAACTTCACAAAACAAAGGAAAATATCAGTAAAAACAAAATACATATATGTGTCTCATGCACATCAATAATGAAATATCTACATTGAAATTACTGTTACAATCGAATGAGGGGATCCACAAAAATTCTTGGCTCGAAAGGGTGCTGAGAAGCGTTCAGTTCTGGAAGTTCTTTCGTTATTTACACAGTAATGAAATGAATCATTTGAAATAACGTGTTAGGCATCACACGTTAAACGGTAAGACCTCGTCAATCCTTAGCTCGCACAAGTTTCCTTCTGAGGGTTGTCGTTCGTAGGGGTGCGACAGCTGGTTAACGGAAAAACAGATCTGTTGAATAGAACAGAAAACAGAATTATGCGACGAGGAGCTAAAAATATTTTTAACAGGGGAAGTTTAGGACCAGCAATTCAAGGGCGGAAGTTATCAAGCAGTAATCTAACAAGTACTGCAGCCTAGTCAGCCTGATTTCTTATGTGTTATAAAAGAAATGGTTGGGACTGTAATATATATGTTATCAGTTATGAATTCTTTCAGAACTAAAAATAAAAAATGTGTGAATAAAAAGTTAATAAAGAAGGTTTTCCCATGTGTTTCCCGGGTATGATCCCCCAGTACTCTTTATGTTTCTCATAGATCCACTTTACACTGGTTTCGTACCAAATATTTTAGTAACCCCACAACTGCTGCAGGCAACAAACGATGCAATTGAACCCAGGTTTGTGTTCAATAAACCCTACAAAATACAAATTAAGCAGAACATAAAGTCAGATGATATAAATGCAATACGGATTTATACAGACGGCTCAAAAACCAGAGAAGGCTCAGGGTGTAGAGTGTACTCCATATCACTAAGCCTGAGAATTAAGTGGGGAATGAGAGGAAATACCAGCATGGTCCAAACAGAACTGGCTGTTATCTCAATCGCCACAAAAGAAATAACCAAGAAAGGAATTTCTGGCAAAAACATAACAATCTGCACTGACCGCAGATAAGCCCTATTAGCCTTAATCAGAAAACGTATAACCTCAGGGCTAGTACTAGAGTGTCACCAAGATTTAGCCAAAGCCTCGGTAGATAATAACATTATCCTGCGGTGGGTTAAAGGACACGACAGGAGTAAAGGTCATCGCATTGTCGACTCTTTAGCCAAGGAAGCGGCTGGACTAAGAACTTAAGGACCCAGTGGCACCTACGGCCTGATGACTTCGACAATTGCGGAACTAGTCAAATGATACACCCATGCTCAATCCATAAAGAGATGGGATGGAATCAAAGGATGTAATCTTGCCAGGATCACCTTAGGCGACCCTTGGAAGCTGGCGCCGAAGAAATATCTGGTGATGACCAGAAAAAATTAGGATTTCTGAATGGCCACTGTCAACTAAGGAAACACCTCCATAATATGGGGCTAGAGAATACACCTCTATGCAGGAAGATGAGACTGTCAGGCATGTCCTGTGCGAGTGCCCGGAGTTATCGTCAATAAGAGAGTGTGTGTTCGGCGCGTCATGGCCTACACCTGCCGATATAAAGGAGATGTCTCCCAGTGACCTATCCACCTTCCTGGAAAGACCAGAATGGACGATGACCTAGGAAGACAACTCCTCGAGAGGATGTACAATGGGTCACATGTGGCCTAAGTGCTGTGGGCTTACACTCACCCTCCCTACTCTACAGATACAGAGAACCCCACAACTGTTTTAGAGGCTATACGAGTATATATAGTAAATGGTTCGTGTTTGGTACATTCATCAGCTTTTTCATTATCTGGGATACCTGAATGTTCCGGCACGCAGTATATAGTCAATCTATTCATATGCCTCAGTTCCTCAGTTTTTCACGGCTTTCGCACTGATGAACCCACTTTTGGGTCCATCCGTTTCCCAAGAGCAGCCTGGCTGTCTGTGAAAATATTGATCCTTTGAGGCCTCAAATTGATGTTTCTTGCAAGATTGCATACATTTTAGCCTGAAAAATTGATATGTATTGATCGAGGGGATAACTGAAATTGAGATTTTCCCCACACAGTAAATTCCAGCTTCAGTCCCATGTTCGATTTTCGATTCGTCTATATACCAGGTATTTCTTTCAAGCATGCTCTCTGGCTGACTGTTGATTCTCTACTCTTCCCTATTTTTGAAAGATGTGTCTTCAATTCAGCTGTTGAATAATTAGTTTTTCAATAGCGATCCTTTGTTTCATCTTTGACCACCAGACCATAGCTGTATATGTCTGCATGGGTTTAGCCAATATGATGTAAAGCCTATACATTATATCTGGTTTGATACCCTATGTCTTCAAGTTAGTATTTCCGGTCATCATCAGTGCTACTGATGATGACCGGACCTCAACGTTGTATTCAGGTCAGCCTGGGATCCTATCCGATCCGATTTTTTCTGGTTCCGGAATGATTTTGGTGTATATCCCAGAGATAAACTTGCTGTGAGGATTAGACATAAATTTTTGAGTAGAAGTTCCTATCCTAAAACTGTTGCCAAAGGATGAGTTACCAAATTATCTTTAGTGAGAAAATACTATCTATTTTGGTGAAAATCTATTGATGAAAAAATATTCTTCACAACTTTTTAATGAAACATTGTTGTAGATCCTCAAGATCAAGGTCAGAAAGCTACCAGAGCTTTACGAAAATCTCTTGAGAGACTTGATTGTGAATACATTGACCTTTATTTAATCAACTGGCCAGGCTCATATGGTATAAGCTCATCAAGCAAAGAAAATGCGACTTTGAGAGAAAAAAGCTGGGAGCTGATGGTGGAAGCTGTGAATGAAGGATTGGTTAAGAATATTGGCGTTTCCAGCTACACTGTGAAACATTTGAAGAAGTTATTGAGTAACGACTACGGTATCAAACCTTGTATTAACCAGGTGCCTTACATATTCACTAATAATATGTACCTATTCTTGACTTGTTATTGATGATTGTAGAATTGCAACGAGCCACCTTGGAGAGTCTCGTTAATTTTTGATATTCGTGGATTAAGTCAACCGTCGATCTCATAGATGGCGTTTCATAAGAGAACATGTCACATCTTTACTTTCTTAGGACAGTTGGGTTATCCATTCTCAGTGAAGACTGGCACCAGGCTGTGTTATTGTGCGTTTTTGCACCAGAAACTATTGCTGCCAGAGTCCTTAAATGGTTCTTCTCATCGGATTCCTTTTCACTTTCACTTCTGCTTGAAGTATTTAAGCTGCCATCGACATATTTCCCTAACTCGAAATTGACTTAATGCGTTTCCCTGCTACATTAGTCATTTCCCTACTACATTATCACTACATTATCACCCAACTTCACGAACGAAAGAGAAACTGTCATATTAGACATGAATGACATTTAGGTGATTCGAATTTGGGATTCAAATTTTCGAAATGTTGTTATTCTCCAACTATAAGGCTCTTCGCTTTCTGGATAACTCATTTTTATTAGTCAAAAACTTGTGTTTTGAAACTGTAGAAACAGAGTAAAACCGACTTTATCCCTGTTGTTACGAGATCCACGGCCAACCACAATGCATGTAATGAGCATTTCCCTTTAGTGAAAGCACTAATTATTGATTAAAATTCAAAAAAAGCACAGGAAATCACAAAAAGAAACAATAACTACTATGGTCACATATCATTAAATATTATGATTGTCCTACGCCGCCATATTGCATTCGTTTTGACAGGTCGCTGCATTGATCTATCCTATCCTAACCTGACCTAACATAAACTAACCTAACCTAATCTAATCTAACCTAACCAACAAAGTAGCTAGATTTTGAGATTTTTTGACAAACAATTTTTTATCTTACATAAAAGAATATGTGTACAAAATTTCATGATGATCGGTTGAGTAGTTGTCGCGTGAAACCGTAACAAACAAACTTACATTCGCATTTACAATATTAGTAGGCATTTTTTAGTCAAAATTCAGCAATTTCAAAACGAACTTTGCTATCACACGCTTCATGTTCAAAATTTTTGAAGAAATTGAGCCAACCGATATGCCGACATCCTCAACAACTTCTCTAATAGTGATTCGCCGATTCTCCATGGAAATTGCCTTCACTTCCTCAACACTTTCATCGATCGTTGATGTGCTGGGGAGTCCAGCGCGAGTCGTCATTCATATCTACTCGACCTTCTGTGAAAAGCTTGTACCACTTGTAAAACATTTTTCTAAGAGTACAATCATCTTATGCCACTGTCAACATTTCAAGTATTTTGAGCATTTGAGTATTTGGTACACTCGCCTCGGACATAGGTTCACAGTTTCAGCGGAATTTGAACATTCATCTTATTCTTCAACAGTCCACGTTATATAATTTGTAGACCACGGCCAACATACGAGTTAAACAACTTTTATACAGTTAGATACCTCCGGACGTGAAAGTCTACAGTCTTTCATCAATTATGCAAGTTTTTGATAACTCTAAACTTCCAGATTGAATTCCATCCCCAATGCTATCAAAAGAAATTATTACAATTTTGTGATAAGAATGGAATCATGGTTCAAGCATATCAATCCTTCGGAGGAACGACTGATGGTAATATGGATCTTCTCGAACATCCTGTAGTTGTGGATATCGCGAACAGGCTGGAAAAATCGTCAGGGCAGGTGATGACATTTTTCAATGTATTACCCGTTTCCGAAAAACATCAGAATTTCTTGGAGTATTTTGTATGAAGTAATATTATAGAAAGAAGATGTATCTGATTATAATGGATAAACTGGAAAACTACTCAACGTTTGTTGAACATTCATTTACCCGAAGAAAGTTATCAGGTTGTTTCGAAAGTTTTGTTCGTTGTTATGAGTCTATTTTAAACTGTAATATCTCAGTGAATACCTATTCAATTTAATCAAAATTAGTGTCATTTGATTCAGAGCACTTTTGCCAACGTAACACAAGTCGATACTTTCCGTAAGCATGAAAATTGTGAGCTCGGTATTCGATGAAGTTGACGCAGGCTGTTTTTGTCTGGTCCTGATTGGCGAAGATCCTACCGGTGAGAAAGTTATCTAAGTGCCTGAAAAGATGGTTAGGTTAGGTCTAAAGTGAGTGGGTCTATTCGATCCTCCACCGCAACCCGCAAGGGTTTATTGTGGCTCACACCTATTCACACTCGACTAAATACACCAAGCTTCTTAACGAAGCCGATTAGTTTGTATGGTGAGTGGTCTTTCAGATCAGATGGTAAGAGTACAGCTCTGCCAAACTCTTAAAACATGATTCAATCTTCAGCGGGGCAGGCACACAGTTCGTGCTCTGGTGTTTTATCATTCTCCAAATAGAGGCCACACACACTGTCTTCCGATAGTCCGAGTCTCTGCATATGATTCAAATGACAGTGACCTGTAAGAAGACCTGCTAGATATCGTAGTTCATCCCAACAACTGTTTAGGGTCAAGCTTGAAGGGTGAATAAACGCCTTTTAGTTGGCCAATACTGGAAGATTCTGTCAGAAGTCCATACAGGTGTCCAATCTTTGTTTGGCAAAGCCTAAAGCGATGCCAATGACAGGTTCTGGTCCGATGAAGGTGCTTGTGTAAAAGGGTTGGATTATTCCAATGTCTCCGCATACAATTCAATAGCGTAAATTTTCGTTTCAAATACAGTCGCATATAGGTTCCTAGGCAGGTTGGTATCTCTGTCCTGGGTCTAGGACTGAAAACACCTGCACCAAAACCGGAAGGTGCTTTTGATCCATCTGTGAACCAACAACTATCCACTCTTAATATTTCTTTCTCCCGGAGGACCCAGTCCTCTCTACCCGAGAACATTACTTTATAAGGCAGTTCGTAGTTGACAGTTGGAGGCATGAAGTCAGAGATAATTTCCAGAATGCTGTGACTTCCAGTGTCAACCAACAGTTGTACTCTGCATTGAAATGATTTGTGCAATTGACGATGTGCACAAATCTACATGCAGTCCATCTAGCCTCTCTCTCTCCGGAAAAAGTGGAGAGGAGGTAGATCTAAAAGGATCTTTATGGCCGCTGACAGTGTGGTACTGATAGCACCACTAATGGCCAGACAAGCCTGTCTCTGTAAGCCACAGAGATTCGCCTAGGCCTTTTCTGTAAAGCCTTCGGCTACCAGGCGATTGCACCATCACATAAATCCAATGGATTTGTTTGGGACCTAAACCCCAAGTATAATCACAAATCCTTCGACATGTCCATACGGACAGTTTGACTTTGTGTAAATCTGTTTCCAATTGAGCGTTCCAGGTGAGTTTTTCATCAAGGACAATGCCAAGATATTTCACCTCCGTTCCAAATGGAATGACCTCACCATTGAGCAAAAGTGACGTTAGATTGCCCAATTTCCTCCTCCTGGTGAAGGGGATTATAAAAGTATTGCTTGGGCTCGTCTTGCAGAGTCGTATTTGCAGTTCTGTTTTCCAACATGGCATAGATCCAGTCAGTTATGGTCGATTCTATACCTTTCCTAGACAGAGATAATCCTATAGATGTGGTTAGTGCATTGTCGAATGCTCCTTCGATTTCGAGAAATACAGCAACCGCAATCTCCTTGTTGTCAAGGTATTGGGAAATTTTCTCTACAAGTTTGATTAATGCCAAATCTGTCGATTGATAAGCATACGGGTGGTTTTTCAGGGGGGATGCATATAATGCCACCCTCTTGATGTGTCCTTCAAGTATCCTCTCAAGCCCTTTCAACAGGAAGCATGTAAGGCTGACTGATCGTACCGATTTAGGGTGTGGGTCTTTGCGACCATGGTCTTTCCGACCCACTTCAGGTATATATACCACCCTTGCTGCCAAACAATTGAGTGGTATATAGTTCCACACCAGACTAGCTCTATACAATTTTATGAGAATAGGTAAAGTTATTTGCAGCCCGTTTTGAAGAAGAGCTGGAAATATACCATCCTCTCCAGAAGATTTGAAGGGCTGAAACGACTTGATAGCCCATTCAATGAAAAGATGGTAGTCAGTTGGCAAAACGTCTGGGGAGTATGGTGAGTGAGACAGAACTTCGACGCTCATTTCGTTTAAATTTTGAACGGTGATTTGTGAAACTTGCGAACAGGCTTTGTCGTAGAAAAGTATCGGACCTCTTCTGCTGAGGCAATTTCTGGTACATTTCGATTGTCTCACAATAGGACTCTTGCTGTGATGGTTTGGCCCAGTTGCAGATAGTTATAGTTAATCGCACCAGCCGCTGACCATCATAAAGTACCCATGGTCTTTTTTTGGTGGGTTTTCACCTTTGGGAAGTGTCTGGGTGACTTATCGATGTCCATGTCGATGTTGTCGTTATCGTAATTTTTCAGGCTGCTTGGGCAGCGCTTTCATTCAATTCGAATTCGTAAGTATATACCACGACACAGTAGAATGAATATTCATTGAGATACGGAGCTCCAAAAACGCATGTCATCAAAACAGACAAAACTTTCGAAACAACCTGATATTATTCCAATCCAATAAGCATCAAATGGGACTTTCTGTTACTATATTAGCATAAAGAGTTTTATTTTGATTATTCAGCAGTGAAAATTGTAGGTAACTAATGAAAAACTGATACGTATTCTATTTATTATGGAATACCATGTCATCATCTTTAGATATATTGACTTATACTTTTATTACTATCTAATTCATTTGTTTTCTTTTCTTTCGTTCTAACGGTTAGTTAGAAGAGCAATCTCTGCGATGATTTATCATACGCAGATATTGAATACTGCCGTTTGATTGTTTGTAATTAAATGGAACCATAAATAAAAGCCATTATTATAATTATTATTATATAACGGTCAAAATATTTCAGGTGCTTCTTCGTTGGGCTATTCAACAAAATATTGGTGTCATTCCAAAATCGAAAAATCAAAGTCGTATCATTAGTAACATGGAACTAGACTTCACCATTCCTGATGCAGATATGAAAACTTTGTGCAGCTTCAAAAAACAAATTCGATATGATTGGGATCCTGAATCTGTAGCGTAAATCCCGAAAGGACACCCTAGGATGCCCAAACACATTTCTAATATGTATTTAATACGATGAATAAAACTCATATCAATCAATCAATCAAGATATGCTTTATTGTCAGAAGAACATAATTCTCGTAGACAAAGCTATACAATGTGATTTGGTTTAACAATTACTTAGATTACATATACGTAAAAAATCTCAATATCTAAATCCTAATACTAATATACATAAATTGAGATATATACATAAATTGAGAATTATACATGTTTTACAACTCTACAAATGATTTTTATATTCCTATATGGATACATGCTGAGATGTTTTATGAGCAGCCCACGTAGTAAACATACAGTTATGAAGATAATTAGTCAAAAGTGGAGGAAAAATATTCATTAAGGGTATAAGGTGAGATTTCAAGCAGTAGTTTTTTGAACGATTTTCTGAAACGGTTAATGCATGCGTTGTCCTTATAAATATAAAACAATATAAAACTGTTAGTGTTTTTCTTTGAGAACGGATGGTTACAACCTAAATGTGAATATGCGTTTTTTTTTGGTTGGGGAAAACGCTTCTAGGCCTGATAATTTCCATGAAAATGGAAAATGAGGTTATATTTTATATTCCAGGAAATTTAGAATTTTCACTTCATAGATCAGTCTGACAGGCGTTCGGCCTATCAGACTGACGACGTTTCGCTTGTGGAGTCATGATAAAGAGAATGATTTGACATATATTTGTGATTATTTCATAAAAAATGTTTAGATTAGCACAAGTGTAACATATGTTTAGAATTTGGAACAAAAAAAGATATTCTCAATATCGCATATCGAAATTCTAACCAGGATATATTTGGGAAACAGTGTCGCCATACACTTTCGTTGAGTTTATTGATTCGTTAAAGAATCATTTCAGTCATCTCTGACAAATGTAGAAGGCTGTCATTCTTGGCTCACTGCTCTTGCTTAGGGCATATGATTCTCGGACCCATTAATCACGTGCCCCACGGTGTGGGGAGTGATCATTGTTTGATAATGCTGACGCGCCCTCCCGACCTCGACTGTGTCGGAGCTTTGGACAAAGGGTCCGAGCGGCTTACCTTTTGGAAAAAAATGATGATAATAATAACTTAGACACTCCAGCCCTCGCACAGTTCGAAGCTTTCAACGGAGAGATTCGACAGCCTGAGCTCAATGAACTGCGCAACCCGATAACCCCGGATAACGTTCGAAGAACCCTTGTGAGTTCCAAAAACTTTACTGCTCCAGGCCCAGATGGGCTGAACACTTATTGGTGGAGAAAACTAAAAAGCACCCACCGCCATCTGGCCAGAGTTTTCAACTCATGGCTGGACGGAGAGCAGCCGATTTCGGATTGGTGTGTTGAAGGGCGGACCGATCTCATTCCCAAAAGCGAAGATTTGTCGGATCCTAAGAATTACAGACGGATAACATGCTGGAATTCGTGTTATGAGTTGTTTACAAGCATATTATACACACGAATACTCACCGCAGTTGACCGAGTGTTCGAACGAATATATAAGCAGAGAGAGTCGAAGAGAGGAGTCGCTGGATGTAAAGAGAACCTGCTCATCGATGGATGTGTGACGCAGGACTCGGTACAATATAAGCGTAAAATATCTATGGCCTGGATCGATTAACGTAAGGCATTTACAATATCGCATGAGCTCATATAGCATTTGCTCAGGTGCCTTTATTGCGGTACCCGACAAATTAGTGAGATGCATTGAACAACCGATACCACTCTGGAGGGTCACTTTCAGAAGGGATGTATTTCAGGGATATTCCCTCAGTCTGCTTCTCTTCCGCATCTCACTATTGCCATTATCCGTTGCGCTCAGTAATACTTGAGGGTATAACTGTGGCACCCCCGGAAACCGGAGGCACCCATTTGTTTTATATGGATGATTTTAAACTTTATGCCTCTGGAGAGAAGGATTTTTATCAGTTCTTGAGGGTGGTGGAAGAGTACACGCATGCTATGGGTATGAAATTCGGGATAGACAAATGTGCATAGATCCATCTCAAAAGATGGCGATGCGGGGACTACGAAGAGGATGTGCAGCTCGTAGATGAAAGCATCCTACACCATTTGGATGCCGGAGAGACGAATGCTTACCTCGGGGTGAAACAACGCCACTCACATGAGGTAACAGCAGTGAAGAACTCTCTCCGCGGCAAGTATCAGCACAAACTTCTACAGATCTGGTCATCGGAACTGTCGGGGAAGAAAAAAGTTGCTGAAACAAATATGCTTGCCATTCCAATCTCACTCTACTCCTTTGTAGTAGTGAAGTGGGCTCGGGCGGAGCTGTATCAACTCGACGTAAAGACCCGAAAAATGATGCATCTCTATAGGAGTTTGCATCCCAAATCGTCCGTTCCACGGTTTTACTTCCCCCGACAACTGGGAGGCCGTGAACTTTTGATTTTGGAGTGTCTGACGGAATGGTACTAGATATAGCCTGTAAAGCTGTCAGGAGTTCGGATCCCCTTCTCTTCATGATTCGTGACCATGAGAGAGCAGGAATTGGAGCATTTCTCTTTAGGGCAGCTGCCCGAGCAGCTGATAAACTCGGTTTAGTTTTCGACACTGAACGAGGTGACCACAACTCTGTCACCGAGTTGGAAACCGTTCAGCAAAATACTCAGATAAAAGCCGCAGATATCTCCTCACTTCTGCGGAAACACAAGGATAAGCCAATGCATGGTGTCTTCTTCAATAACATTGGAGACCTTGGCTTATCAAAGCGCCTGACGTTCGCTTTTCTCAGGTCGAGTAGGCTGAAGTCGAAAACTGAGGGGTTCCTCATGGCTTACCAGGATGGTGTCTTCAACACCTCAGTCTACCGCAGTCGCGTGTGATGGGTATAGGGGTTCCTAAGGGCCTGCCGCGAGGCTCTCGAGACCCTAATACATTTGCTATCAGCATGTCCAGCATATGCGGTTTCGGCCTATATCCATCGACATAGCGCAGCCCTGAGTGCTATATTACCACCTACGTCACTTTTACGGTATTGACGAGACACCGGTGTTGCCCTACGCTCCGGGGGATATTGAATCCGTTGTGGGGAACGAGAAGTGAGAAGTGCCGAATTTATTAGAACTATTCATTCCCCACCCTTAGACTCATACAAGCTAATAAGCCTGATGTAGGCCTTCTCGACCACCAGAGCAAGACGATATTTGTCGTGGAGTTTTCAGCTCCTGGCGAGACGAATATCGTCAGAAAAGAGGAGGAAAAACGGATAAAATATCGAGATTTTCTCTTCGAACTCCGCAGACTCTATCCAGACCATTCTGTCAAAATGGATGTTCAGATTATTGGAGTCCTTGGTGGAATGATGCCCTCTCTACTCTCGAATCTTAAAATCATACCGGCTTGCCGCACTAAGGCAGAAATCTTAGCCGGACAGATGCAGAAGGCTTGACGCCTGGTGCAGACCCGTATGCACATGATGTCGGTATGTCCAGCATGTACTGCGAATTTATTGTTACTACTTATTTTGCAACCTCTGTCTAACAAGCCTGCTGTAGTCCTAGTCCTAGACCATCAAAGTAAGGAGATATTCGCCAGCCTCGGCTGGAGTGAATATCGTTCGAAAAAAAAAAAAAAGGGAAAACGAATGAAGTATCAAGATTTACTCTTCGAACTCCGCAGACTCTACCCAGATCACTCCATTGAAATGGTTGCACTGGTCACTCACTTCACGGTTGTGGGGAGTGGTCATTGGTTGACGAGGCTGACATGACCTCTGAGTGGGTCGAGTTTCCAGTACAGGGTACCTACTCACCAGCAACCCCTTTTTAGACACGAAAAAATAATAATTGATTTTATTAATACGAAAATAAGAAACAAGGAGAATCATATTGAAAATATGACCGTGATTCATTATTATTATGAGTGTAACAATTATTTCACTCGGTAAGTGTGTTAGACTCACTGGTTTCCTTTATAGCAGAATTCCAAAATTACGCCCAACGCTTCGGGAAACGAATAAATAAGTATGTCTTAAATTATCTTTCTTGAAAACTATTTCATTTGGTGTTTCTGCAGTGGTTGCGTGGTCTCCATAAAAAAAGTTTTCAATTGAAATATTTTAATGCCTATTTTCAATTTCTATTTGAACTGCCATTATGATATTTTAATGAGATGCCTTCTGCAAAAATAAATAATTCCATAAAGAACACGAATCAAATACCAAGTTGAGCATTAAAATTGCCATTTAGTAAATGATTCTCCTGGTTATAATGACAGATTTTCAGTGCAAATATAAATAAATAGTTAGAACTTGATTAAAGTGTACGGAAATGAATTTTCCCGTAATCATTTTCAACAACTAAAAAAACAGTTTTTACATTATTTACAATCGAACTGCGACCGAGGATTGATGAATAATTACACAGGAATTATTAATCTGTTGCTATAAAATGATGACCTTCCCAAGTATAGTATTATATGACCACAATAGTATATCGCAATTGTGATACTTCATGAATAGTACGGAAAATAACAATAACTATAATTTTATCCTGAGAGAAAATGCAATTGTAATAAGAATATAAACTTGTTGACCTTTAATTCCTCCGGTATGTTATTTTCCCCCTGGCATTTATAAGTTAATTGTTTCAATACTTACCAGTTTGAAATCATTTTAAAGCACATAGTGGCAAGCAGCAAAGAGTGAAAAGTGAACAAGTGTTTGAAATCGTTACCACCATTATGCGGTCAATGCGTTTTGGCTCTATTTTGTTCCACATTTTTTTGTGGTTGTCGTCGTGTTCATATTTGTGTGTAGTGTATTGCCAAGAGGAAACGATTTTAGCCAAAGATATGCGATTCAAACTAAATACTGGTGATTTAATGCCATTAATTGGATGTAAGACTTTTTTAAAGAATATTTATATACTTGATTAAGAAGTAGATTAATCTACACTACATAACCTTACTTTTATAAATTTTCAGTTGGAACATATCAAGTGCGAGGTGCTGATTTGATAAAAAGTACACTGGATTATGCCCTTGGGTCTGGTTACAGATTAATCGGTAAGTTATTAAAAGTGCCTATTTTGTGAAGCCATATTTTCGAATGTTGATCCCGCTTTATAGATTTTGGGATTGCAGCAATACAATTGGGGATCTGCCACATTCTAATTTCTGATAAAAATAGAGTTGTATCTAATAGTACAGTTTGTTGTTAACAATAACATAATCTGGTCCAAATACCTGTAGATTGAATCCATTTCAAAAAATGTACTCATAAATAATAAAGATCTTTTTTTTTTACCTTTCAAGCAGATCAAAGCTGTTGACATTACTACTGACCACCTTACTTATTTGTACAGTTTTGGTTTCGAAAAATGGATTGAAACTATTTCTGTTATAGTTTAATTAATTAGAATACATTAAAGAAAGAAAGAAAGATATCAAATCATCTAAAAGAACAATTCCTTTAGGTCAGTCTCAACTCCCTACAATGTAGGTTAATGGCCTGACACCTATCAGAAAACAATTACTCCCCTGGCTAATACCACGAAGGGGAGTAGTTGTTTTCTGATAGGTGTCAGTCCATTACAGTGTAGGGAGTTGAGACTGGCCTAAACAAATTGTTCTTTTAGATTATTTGATTTATAGCCAGTCTTCAAGTATGCCCACTGACTATATGTGAAAAGAAAGATATATTTTTAATTTTTTTCTAGAGGATAAAAACTTTCAAGATAGATGTACTTAGTTAGTGTTCCTAGATTAGACCACAATAGAATAATGAAATGTAACAAGTTTACCTCATTCAATAAACGTTTGGAAACTCGCAAAATGAAACTCCGGTTTGTTGTGAAAGTACTAGTTTTCAACTCATCAGCACTGCTTAGCACAGATTGGATTGTTGTATAGCATTTTTAATGAATAATTTTCATGATTCATCTGATTAATACGTTTCTACCACATCTCCAGACACTGCAGACTTGTGGGCTCATTGCATTTTTATCCTATTCTCATAATAAGCCCTACTTTGTTCAAGTGTTCTGTGAGGAGTCATGCAATTATTCTGAGCCAGTCTTCAGCGTCCCATTCATGAGTAGATTCGAAACTCTGATTTTCAATTTTCTTTCTTCCTTATCAACCTACTTTTTGATCAGGTATTCTCACAGTTGGTCTACTTCATACTATAGGCATGAAAATGAGAAAGAGAAGGGTATAAATATATAATTTAATATTCATTAGAGAAAGTAGTTGTTTCAAATGGGTTCTTCTAGTTTGTTTCTGTCAGAAACTTCTTTGGGTTTTTTATATCTCAATATATAAACTTGTCATACGAATATTAGTTTCTATTCTTCAATATATGAATAATTTTTTACTTCTTGCAGAAGTTTGGGGAGTTCAATAATGTACGAATATCTCCAACATATGTCGTTTTTTGTCATATTTCCAAAATCTAATATTAGAATGATGGTTTTATTGGAAATCTAATTAAACCTTGTCTTGAAATAAATTCAAGGTTGATGGTTAATTTATTCTTCGAAATCCAATATAAGAATAATGTTTATATTGGAAATATAATTTAACCTTAACTTGAAATGAATTCAAGGTCAATGGATACTTTCTGTTCATAGATCTTTTTGATCATGTTTATGAATCCTTTCTTTGTCTTATGAACTAGATGACCTTCTTGCTGAGCTTGAGATCATAACTTGAAAGGAGTATATTTTTAGTGGGAATTAATTTTTGGGCTTTCCTCTTCTTAATCTTTATAAAAAAAAAAATGTGAGAATCTTCCGAAGAAAGGAAAAAGGTGAAAAGTTTCAAAATAACTCGTGTACAAAATATGTAGATCGTGCAAAGAAGTAACTTTTAGATACAAAACTGGAAGAAAAAGCCCTTTTGAAACAACTACTGTCTTATAAATATTGAATTACACAAAAGAAAAAATACTTCTGAAACAACTACTTTTATATGAACATCATATGAAAAACACTATTTCCAGTTTGGTTTGTATTCCAAACATGGATTTGATACAGATGTCATTCACAGATTTGCTACACAATATAGTTTATGAAAGAGATGAAATGTCACTTATATGGAACACTGTCACCCTCAGTGGCGAACATCTGATGTTTCGGAATAAGACACTTGCCTTTTTTCCTCTTCAGCATTAATCTAGACAACATAACAAGATTACCACATTAATTTTTTGTATAAAGATGGAGAAGTAGAAAGCTAAACCCTTTCTTTCCCAGTTATTATAACAATGTAAAACAACTGTAATTTCACTTTTAAATGTTGGATTTTACTCCGGGACGTTGAAGCCCAAGCTTGGTTTCCAACAAATAATCCATGATGGCATTTATTCAGCACCACACTATATTCAACGTTTCCGACTGATCTGCTTGGTGTTTCCTAGATACTATGCCACTGTCTAAATCATCTACATTGTCATTCTGTTTTTTTCACTACTAATGATAGCATTTATTCATATGATAATGATATTTTGTTTTAGTGATACAATACACATGATAATATTATTAATAGTTCTTAACACAATCATTGATTGAATAATATCTTGTAGACACTGCTGCTGTGTATAGAAATGAAGAAGATATTGGAAGAGCTCTAAAAGAACTACTGCCGAAGTATAATCTGACCAGAAAAGATATTTTCATCACAACAAAATTAGGTAATGTATTATTATAATACAGGTTTCCTGTTAACACTGTATTTCTTTACAGCACCACACGATCAAGGTGAAAAAGCTTATAAAGCCCTGGAACAATCACTAAAAAACTTAGATTGTGAATATATTGATTTATATTTGATTCACTGGCCTGGGGTTCATGGAGTGAATGTGTCAGATAGTCAAAATGCGAAATTGCGTGATGAGAGTTGGCAACAGTTAGTCAAAGGCATGAAAAATGGCTTAACGAGAAACATCGGAGTATCTAACTATAACGTTCGTCATTTAACTGAATTATTGAAAAATAATCACGGTGTCAAACCGTCAGTAAACCAGGTTAGTTTGTTATAGCTCATCCTTGTTAATTGTAATAATATCATGATATAACATGTCAGAAAAGGCCTGACATTTTCATAAAAGACTATTTGTTACATGTAATTTTGACAATAAGTACTAAACAAATTATCCAAATACTTAGTCGTATGTTGGTTTTCCTTAATCACATAAGTTTCTATGTTTTATGAAAATGTTAGTCCATAATAATAACTTTTTTGTGTCCACCAGCATCAGCAAGGTCAACCAGAAGTACTTACCCAAAGAAATACCAAGAATTACATCAACAGTATTAAAAATACTAGTGATTCCAAAGGTTCAATTGAGATGGAATGAAAACTAGCTACGACTTGACGAATCATACAGTATAAAAACTACAGAAATGGTCATTTTTTTATTTTGTAATTGTAATATAAATATTCACTTTCATATTACAATATAGTGATTAAATGAAAATATAGAAATTAAATGAAAATATATGAAAGAAAGTGCGGTTGGCTTCAAGGTCTTGTTCCTCAAAGCCTCTGAAGTCTGTCAATTTTGTTTTCTTTTTTTCAAAGGAAATTTGGTTGCACCCGCTCATGTTCTTTTGGTTCATTCCTTTTGGTTCATTTCATGTGACTTTCTACTACAGTTTGCCTTTGTTCTATGCTTACCGTATTATTTTTTGTTGTAGGGGAGGTTTGTAATCTAAGAAAATCACCAGGGTGAACTGCAAAATGTCTCAGGTCTGTTGTCATTCGTCACGTCACCTCTATTTTCTATATGTGTACCTAGAAACCTATGCATCAGAATTTTCATTTCTGAACGGCGGATCATTCAAGAGACTGAATTGCATTGTATTGTTTTTATCGCTATTTTTACATAGTTGGTTGCTAATAAAGCAAGAGTTTTGACTGGACATTTGGAAGGCATTTATAGTAAAGAGGAGCATCTGTTTTTGTTACCTGACCTGTTTTCTCATTGGTTCAAGCTTATTTTCATATTTCTATTCGTCCATCACAGTGTGTCCCCCTGAGTCAGAGGGATCCCCCTCTTCCTTCAACATCTTCTTCAATACTTTGCTACTTCTAGAAGATTCATATACTTCATTAACCAAATATAAATTATAGGATGGGAAAAGGTATAGTTTACAAAGAATAGTTGGTTATTAAATTAAATGATAGTGGTTCTGTTCCAAGTTTCAAAACACATCCTTCTAGCATGAAACCTAAATGCCGAATCCAGATAATGTTTGAAAAACGTACCAAAATTAAATGGTTAGGGGGTTTATCATGTTCATTTCTGCATAGATATATATGATGGTGAATTCATATTTTTGAAAATATATTCGAAACTCTTGTACGAAGAGAAATGAAGTAAATAGATACTCGAAAAATGTTAATACATACCTAGATTATTTTACAACACCTGCATACCTATTTTCACTTGTTTTCATTCTCATGTGTTATTTACTATTTCATTTTATCGATATTTCATATGAGTGTTTACCCATGAACTAGTTCCTGCAAGACTTCAGTTGTTTTTCTCTTTTTATAGGTTACTAGATATAGATACTTGGATGTAACTATTATTTTCTCTTATGATGCATTAGCTTCCCTTAACACTCTTGACATTGGACTATTAAATCCATAATTGGTAGAACGTGAGTTCTCAATGAAAGCAGCTTTATCATCCCTTGTTACTCTTTGCTTGACTCTGAGGCCAACCAACCAACCAACCAAAGATTGAGGATTGCATTTTTTTAAAATTTTGATTGATCATTTATTGATGTTGAGACAGATCTATCAGGCAGATATTGAGGTAGATCTATCGATCTACTTGGAGAAATTATAAATTTACAGATCTGAAACAGCTTGGTTCGTCCTTACTTTTTAACCACCTTTTTTTCAGGTTGAGTGGCATCCCAAATATCATTCTGATGAGCTACTGAATTTCTGTAGAAAGGAAGACATATTACTTCAGGCATACTCATCCTTGGGTGGAACAGACAACAGGGATTTATTAGATGACCCCCAGGTCAAGAAAATTGCAGAAAAGTTGGGAAAAACTCCCGCTCAGGTATGTGATGGCCACCGATAAACATCTTATTTATTTGATTTAGAAAAATGTGAGCATTTCAAGTCTGCTTTTTTTTTATTCTTCATTCGTGAAAGTGAAATCTGTGACTGCTTTGCATTTCTTGAAGAAATCTCGTTTTTATTTGAGAATGGCAAAAAAAGAATATCAATGAATTAACCTTCCATCAAAAGTATTTTCAAGGTATTGCATTATTTCCATCGAACTAAGATATGTTGCTCTGTCCTATTGCCGTTCATATATTGGAAGATCAAAAAGAGAATCATGCAACTGATTATGTAAAAAAAGTTAGATATCGCTGACAAGTCATAGACTGTCAAAAGAAAACAATTATTTTATCTTTGTGAATGCCTTACCAAACATTAGTTTTAAAATAATCGCGAGTTTCAATCTGGAAGAGAGAATTGTAGTTGGTCTACTTTGACAATTTTGCGAAGACATTGTTTCATTAGACGCAAATGTAGCTTCCTCAGAAAAAATTATTTTCCTAGCCAAAAGAAGATTGTCATCTAGCTTCCCTTCGATAAGAAAACAAAATTCTAGCCGTCTGTCTAACATATGGATGTATTGTGGTTTATATGGATGAAAATTATTCTCTTTAAAAAATGTTTATTTTATAGCTTCACCAGTTTTCCATTTGGAAGCGATGATACCCTTTTTCACAGAGACAATTTAGGATTTTCCACTGCAGATACATTTGCGTTGTTATTGTAGATAAAAATGAAATGAAGATTTTGGATGTAATTGCATATTTCAACGTTGATTTCAATTTTCATCAAATTCTCTCAATAACGATTTTCAGTATTGTCAAAATTAAAGGTAATTTACTCCTAAGTCAAATTCATATTTTTTGAGAAACTGCTTCTGCAACTGAAAAAAATTATCATCAAATTATCATTTAAGGTTCGAGATCATGCAGAACTTTTGGTAAGAAATAACTAACTAAATATAAATTAGTAATTAAAAAGTTTTCCATATAGTGCGAACTTGAGTAGACACACTGTATATACATGGTGTATCTGAGGAATCTTGATTCACATTATTTGAGTGAAGATCAAACAGTTTGATCTCCCTTTTGAAGATGATCACTTGGTGATCGAAACACGTGTCAAGGTGTTAAAAACTGTTTGATCTTCCTCTTGAAGATGATCACTTGATGAACGAAACACGTGTCGAGGTGTTAAAATAACGATTTGGTGTTGGGAAAAAACTCCAAATAATATTCAGTTTATATTGATATCTGCTATATTTTTACTTTTTACATTGTTTTCAAATATTTTTTTTCAACTTTGCAACCGTTCAAATTATGATTTTATGAAGTCTATGCATCTCTCTCTCTATCTACATTAGAAATATATTTCATCTTCCAGTAGAACCTGCTTGCAATTCTGGTGTATACCGGAAATGTTCGTGTTGATTGCAAGAAATTCTGGTATACATAAAAAATGTTGATCATTTTTTTTATGGCTCTAGATAAATGAGATATCAATTAAATTTGTATGAAACTTTTTTATTTCCACAATATTCATGAATGAATTGTAAATATTGTTTTGTACATCTGTATTCTTTTGGAGTTGCCCTCCATGTTGACAATTTTCATTTAATTTTTCAGGTTTTGCTACGTTGGTCTCTCCAACAGAACATTGCCATCATTCCAAAAGCTCGATCCAAAAAATATATCGAACAAAACATTGACCTCAACTTCAGTATTCCTGATTCTGATATGGGTATCTTGAACAATTTCAATCGAACGCAATATGCCTGGAATCCAGATACCATAGCCTGATTTGCAACATTCTTATTGTACATAAAACTACATAAAACTAATTTACTGTTTAAGTTTCACTAACAGATTCTTTAATATTTTTATACTCATGCCATGGAGAATAGTAAGGATTTTTATGATAAAATAGCAGAACTCTGCCTTGATAAATTCAAGGCACTACCTAAGTCTGGAAAACCAAACCTCGCAGAATGGACAGTATTATCTTGCATTGTGATGGAATTGAAAGGTGATTTGAGTGTCGTAGCGTTAGGCACTGGATCAAAATGTATAGGAAAAACGAAAATGTCAGATACTGGAGGTGTTTTGAATGATTCACATGCAGAAGTAATCTGTCGCCGATCATTCCTGCGCTTTATCTATTATCAAATGAAAATTGACAGTTCCCTTCTACATTTTAATGAAGATACTAAGAAGTTTGCTATGAACTGTAATGCCCAATTTCACTTTTTTACCACTCAAGTTCCTTGTGGAGATGCAGCCATTTTTCCAAAACAGAAAACTGAAGATATTGGTGATGTCATGGAAGAGGGAGTGCCCTCCAAAAAAAGGAAGAGACATGATGATGATGATGACTTATTCAGAACAGGTGCAAAATGTTTGGAAGATAGTCAGCTTAGAGATATGAAACTGCCTGGAACCGGATATCATATTTTAGGTGCTGTGAGAACAAAACCAGGTAATAACCTTGTATACAATGGGCAACATGAACAAACATCGAATGTTTTGGAAAAACATGTATATTATAGAACTTTTCAAATTATCAGTTTCTACCAAACTCTTGCTTTATTTTGATTAACTTAATGACCTTTATTGCATTTACCATACAGCAATTCTTATTCCATTACGAACAATAAAGTCAATAAAGCATTAGTTCATTAATAATAATAAGTTTATTCTTGGATAAATATACTATTTTAGAATATATAGCTTATTATGAGTAAGCTAAGATATGAATCTTAGAAGACAACTTGTAAGGTTAAGTCAAAAATGAAATTACAGATTGACACCTTAATCTCAGTCGAGTTGGAGTCAAAATCCCTGACTCCGTTAACCAGCTGTGTCTCACCCCTACGAAGAACAACACTCAAAAGTCGAAACTTGTGTGAGCTAAGGACTAACGAGGTCTTACCTTTTAACGTATGATTCGTAACACCTACATAGAAGGTCGACATTCTTCTCTATAGGTCCGCATTTTCTTCAAGGATTCAATCCAAGTAGTCGAATCAAAATTTTCCTGTTATTTTTCACTTTTCTCCATCGAAATCCAAGTTTACGAATTTCTTTTCGCAAAGACTCTCTACTACCCTGACATATCTCAGATACCATATCTATATCTCGGATGATAGTTTTATAAATTTCCCTAAGCGTAGAATCTCGTTTCTCTTTGATATGGAAATGATTTATGCATCTGCTTGAAATTGCCAAAGCAACATCTTCCATCACAATTATGGAATTTTTGAAACATTTCTTGTTGTTTGGAATAGAAAATGTTTTTTCTCACCAGTTTCTATTTTTCTCATCTCAGCTTGAATCTTCAAAGTTGAAATACAATATACTTATCACTATTACTTGTTACCTTCGCAAGAGAAATTCTTATTCCATCTGCCGTTGCTTCCCCTTGCATAAATCTTAAATGTTTCACACAATTTCTCTTATTTGTCCACTGAGAACCTTGTTTTTCAGTTTACTGGTCGAAGATATTTTCAAAGAAAACAAATATTTCACAGTTCACCTCACAGAACAATTTCTCTATTTACTTTACTGACATGATGTTTCTACTCGAGATCCTCGAAGTTGATGAGTTATCGCCTCACTCCTCTGGCTGATCTACTGCATATCCAATATTCATAGGCACTGCTAGTTTTACCAAGCTGTAAAAATGTTCTTAGCTTTATCCTTCCTCCATACAAGAATATTATAAAACAATCTTTCAAAGTGATATTCGTCTATATAAATATGTATGTCATGTTGGACTATCTTGTTGATTATTTTCCATGACCGTATTCCTCAAACTGAATGTATATCTTTCATTTCAACTTTTTGTGCTTACATTGTATCCCTGTGTTCTTTTGACTTGTCCTACACCTGATTTGCTTAAATGAGTGGATGAAGAGTTGAATTGATTTGCTTCAGCTTTGCAAAATGTCACCCTCATGTATCTTGATAAACTCAAGAATGGTTATGCCCGCTCCTAACAAAGTAAATTAAATGGAATTTTACTGGATCCCGTCAATAACCTCAATATTTTTTATCAAGCACTGATTCAGTATTATTGATTGATTTTTTATTTATTCATTTAGAGTTATTATGATATTCTTATGGTTATATGATATTTGACAAAACCTTAGATTACTATTGTATTTTTTTATAGCGAATAAAGGATATTCTATTCTATTCTAACAACTGACTAAATAAAAACCCAGAAAACTTATGAATCATTTCCAATGTTTGCTAGAAAGTGTTCAAGTATTCTACATTTCTTAACATAACTGGTAAGGGACATTCATTCATTGATTATTAACTGGTAATCTAGATCAGCAAAATATTTGAAACAAATGAAATAATTGTAAGTGAAAAGAATAATTTAAATCTAAAAATAAATGAGTACCTACTGTATATTCTTCGGGGACACGTCTTTAAGCCATGAAATGTCAGAGCCCAGACTCCCGATAGTAGATATTTTTACTCTTCCTCCAATTCATGGAAAGTGGAGGGTGAAAGGTAAAACATATATTCTTGAAAGATCGTTGTATCTCTGACTGACATACTTCTACACTAAACATACGAAACCAATACTTTTAATAGTGACACCCCACTGGTTTTGAAATCCTTTTTCAAATTAAATCAGTTAGCATACATTCAATTTTGACAGGTACCTAGGAAGGTGAATCAGTTTGTCGTATTTCGATATATCTTGAGTTTTATGACTCAAGAGAAGTATCCTCCTCCACCTCCTACTTCTAATGATTCATTAATATTGTTGATTTTTTTTTACGGTAGAATTCTTGACGATGCACCAACAATCTGAAGGGCAGAAGCTTTTTTCCTTCGAATATTTACACAATACCAATTTACTCTTTAAACAATATTAAAGATGACATTTTTTTTCAATAGGTAGAGGAGATCCTACTCTTTCTGTTTCATGCAGCGATAAACTTTCAAGATGGTGTCATCTTGGAATACAAGGAGCTCTCCTTTCTCTTCTATTGGAAAGGCCTATTTATCTCTCCAGTTTCATCATTACATCCAACACACCATTTTCTGAGACATCTCTAGAGCGTGCCCTGTATGGTAGAGTTGGCAATATTTCGCTGAATTATCCATATCTTCAGCACAAAATGAATGTCTTCCGGTGTTCTAAGGAGTTTGAATTCAGTAAAACTGATGGCAAACAGGCTAGCCCTACTAGCATATCTTGGTGTGATGTTAATGAAAAAAGGTATGTTTATGAAAAATTGTAACGAATTTTGGGTTAGAAAATGTTCTTTTGTGGTTGTCCGCTTCTCCCTCTGTGCGTGAAAAAGAATAACAATAATATTATAAAATGAGCTACCTATAAGAAGATGTGTAGATGAATCACCTATTTAAATTATTTACAGGCAAAACGAAAGGTTACATCTGAAAACAATTCTTTCTCTCAAGGATATTGAATGAAAAGGATACACTTTCTCCATTTATATAGCAAAAACTGATAATAGGAAGTAAAACAGACATTTACTTCAAATGCTACATAATGTAAATAAATGAAAGAGTAAAATCACAGAAATTTTTAATTGACCTCAATTTCACAATGAACTTGCAAAGGAGTTTTCATGATTTTCAAGTAAAAAATATTTAGGCCTACTAATTGATAAATATTAAAATTTTCAAAATCATTTAAATGAAATTAAAGAATGGATTGTACCACTGATATGAGCGCAATCACAAGAATACATTTTTCAGATTAGATACTAAATTATAAATCCTAATTTATGATGCTCATATTCTCTCTGGAATTGGATATCTCATTACAATTTGGTGATCCTACACTAAAAGGCAAAAAATATACTGTATCAATTAATGTAAAAAGCTATAAAAGTGATATTTAATAAACCAATAGATTCTCCATCGTTTTCTAGAAACTCTTCATTATGAGATTTTAACTACACTGTTTTTGATGTGGTTTCTTTTAATCAGTTGATAAATTTTCCTTATAGGCAGGCAGTTTTTGTTATATTTGATCAGTTTTTTCTGTTGTTTTTGTTTTCACTTATTATTTTTCAGTTTTCTGTTGGGATATTTTTGCTACTTTCAATGTGTCATGGTCCAAAGTATCAAATACTTTACTGAAATCAAGTAATATTAACCAGTTTTTTTTTATTGTCTAAAGATGATAATAACATCAGTTACTGTTGTGGTACACGATTAAAACTAAAATACTATGTCGATTTAAAACCTCTGATGTGAGCGAATATTATGCATTTTTTGTTCTTTTTCTCCAGAAGTTATGCTTTTACGAGCAAAAAATTATCTTCGTGTGTACTATAGTCTCGAATTAGGTGAATTATCATAGCAGATCATTTTTGAACCTTGCTTTCAGTATTTCAAAAATAGAAATAACCTCAAGGAAAATGAAAACACCGATTATTTTACCGCGACTTCAATAATACTCTATTAGGAAATATACTAAACTGTAGATTTTGATTACTAATATTTTTCAGCTTGGAAGTGGCAGTTGATGGAAGACGACAAGGGATCACAAAGAAGAAAGCAAACACAGAGATGGCATACCTGAGAATTTGCAAGCTGGAACTGTTCAAAAATTTCCTAATCGTTTGTGAAACAAAAAATATTATGTTGAAAACGGGCTGTGATAATTACTCCTTAACTTACGAAAGTGTTAAAAATTTTGCTGAGCAATATCAGAAGTCATGGAATATGTTGAGAAAAAGTTTTGAAATATGGACTTGTAAAGATAAAAACCTTAACAAATTCTCCATTAAATGAAATTACTTACCTAATTTTCATGATTTTATTTACATGCAATCATAGGTCAAAACGAAACAATCTATTTTGGCTGCGTTCATACAGGTTGAAACAACGTTTTTGACCACTGCTGAGTATGTCTGTGCTTTATCAAGCAATGATTGAGGAAGCACAGATTGTCATCCTGTTGTGGAAGTTTACCCCACGGTTAGAGGTACCACTGGAAAGCACCCCCCAAATCAGAAGAGTCCACTTCAAGACTATTCATCTCTAAACTTAATTCAAATGGTTAACGTCGAAACATTACAAAATGAATATATTGTTTAAGTTTGGTCGCAATGCCATGAAACAATATATTTTGACCTTTGTGGAACCAGCCTAAGATTTCCTGGTTGATCCATCACGAGAGGTATTGAAAAAGTGTAAAGAAAATCACTTGTCCGAATGTTACAGTCGGACTGCAGCAGATATATTTTCTGAGTGAATATTGCTGTAGATTTACTAGGTGGCTTCATTTTTCTACACAAAAAACAGATTTTTTTCTGCTTGCACAATGAACTTGCCAACTTGGCAAATGTTTTTATTTCTCTATGTGAATATTATCAAAACGGTTTGGACAAACGACGACTTACAAGTTATAGTGAAGGAGTGAAATAAGGGCGTAACTATAAAGGGTAATGGGGAATGTTCCTCAATTTGGGTTATTACAGCAAATGCAAGTTTGAACAAAATAAAGTTGAGTTTAATTCATGAGTTTTTCAAATTCACTTCGAAAAGTATTCAAATTGATGTTTCAAATGTTGGGTTTAGATTTTTAAAGGGATTTGTTTCTAATTCACATATTGGCAACAGCACCTATATCAAGTTGAAATAATTCATACGTACCTAAATATTCTACTTTAAAAAAGAAAAATTATCTTTATAAATCAACAATGAAGGCAAAATATGAATTATAGTTCAATACCACCTCCACAAGCCACATAAACAACAGTTGTTTTGTTATTTATTCATATAGAGAAAGATAGGTTAGGTGCACAAAATGTCATGTCACAGAATGTCTCGGAACATAAGTAAACAGAATAGCACGCCTCTGAAATATGTCATCTTTGTTTGTTTCATACAGGTAACAGATTCATTGTCCTTTATTAGCTATAACCGATGTTGCCAAATGGTGAAATAGAAACGAATCCCTTTAAATGTTGAATGCATCATTTCATTCCTCTTTTTTGAGTATTTAAATAATTTTTTTAAGAAAAAGGTTGAAATGAAAGTTTAAAATGCGTTGTTTTAGAGCTCTTTTATGAAAACTACTTGATTTTCGTCAAGAGGAACATTCCCCATTGAAGTATAGTTGTTCGAATGAAATTTTCAAACCAGTGATACCACTTTTTTATTTATTGGTAATATATGATATTCATTTGCTACTTGGGAGCCATGTTACTAGTCACTTGTTTTTAGGTATCCAGAAAGTACTGCAGCCCTATGGGCTTAATGCATCCCATTATTTCATGACATCCATTTCAATAATCTTGTTCCATTACTAGTTGTTGCAGGTCCTTTGTTTGTTGCAGCGTTTGACAAATTCTTGACCTGGCCTGACCTGGTCATTCATTGATTGTTTTCTGTCACTAGTGCCTCACATTCACATAAGCACATTGAGTGTTTTTTCGTTTTCTTCTTCCAGCTGAGATCCCCGTTATACAGTCCTACTTTGTTCAGATATCTTCTGAATAGACAGCGTCCAGTAAGTAGTAACATGATCATTCTGATAAAAGATATAACTGGAACCTCTGGCGAAAAATAAATCCAAATCAAGTACTTTACCCAATCATCAAAATTGCCATATTCTTCTCAAAGCGCGTTTGATCATCCTAAATAATCCCTAATATGTTGAAATAATTCTCCATTTTGTTTCAGATGCTCCCTTTATATAACATTCAGAATATGAGAAAGTTTTCCCGTGAGTTTTTCCAGGTATTATTTGCCAGTATTCTTTTTCTTCCTTTCATATCTAGTATACTCATAGCTTTTTCGTTACCTGTGTTGTTCACAGTATTCACAGAAGAGCTCGGCGCCTCTTTTGAGTTCAGCCTGACTGTCTGAGAATATCCATTTGCTCGTTTTGTTGAGGTTTTAGATGTATATTTCTTACTTGATAGTTCGTAATGAACCTCTGGCGTAAAGTGAATGAATCTAGGGAAGAAACTTTCCCAACTACAGAACAAAAATAACAGTCTCTCGAGGCCCGTTTCGCTAACCAAGTTAGTATTCTTAGGAGATCATTATGACTGAATTTTACTACTATATTAGTTTTTTTCATATCGTCAGGTTAATGGACAGACACCTATCGGAAAACAAGTACTCCCCTAGCTAATACCAATAAGTGTTTTGGATTATATCCGACAGGTGTCAGTGCAGGATTCTTCACTGAAGTTATTCCTGCATATGCTATTGGCGATACAACTGCCAACAGATTTTCAATTATTGGAATGAAAACACTTGCAGACCGGTTTCGGGCTGTTTGGTCACTCGTCAGTGCAAGGTAGTGTCTATCATCAACATAAAGTCGATGATTTCCAAAAATTGAAAATCGAATTCCTTTAGAGTATCATTTCTCAAACTAGGCTGAAGCGGACAACAAACAACAGGTTTGTTATCGCCCCATCTACCTGTGAACGAAGTAACCAACCGCATATCCAAAATTTGCCCAATTCTTCGTACAAGGAAAGAAAACTTTTCTCATCAGTGAGCATACTTGAAGACTGACTGTAAATAAAATTTACTATAAGAACAATTTGTTCAGGCCAGTCTCGACTTACCTGCACTGTAGGTTGATGGACTGACACCCATCAGAAAACAACTACTCCCCTGGCTAATACCACGAAGGGCGTTGGATTATATTCGACGAATGTTCCTTTAGATGATTTACTATATTAGTATTACATAACTACTACCTGTTATTGATCCTGTGCGCGTCGAGAAACCGTCAATTTTGTTCTGGTGTTGAGAATGTGTTTTCAATAGATTCGATATTCCTATGCACTGTAAGACTGCACACTCTTCAGCTTAAAAGGCAGGTGTGTATGGACCGAGCAGATAGCTGTAATGTAAATTTCCCACCACATAGTATTTTCCAGTTACTGTCACATAACATCGCTTCTCATATTCAGTTTCTTACTCGCTTGTATACCAGGTGTTTTTGCCAGATGATTTTATGGAAAGAGTTTTCACCAGCACGGTTCGTGACTTTATCCGTTAAGTTTATGGTCAACAGTGTACTTTTGTGTTATGTGTTGCATGAATATGTTTGATGTTTGTTCCTCCACATATTCCAAAATTTCAATTCTGCCTGTTTCCTTATGGCTAAGTGAATTTATCAGTGTGAATTGGTATACTTTTGCCTTCTCGTTATTTCAGAATTAAAAGGGGGTAGATGGCCGCAAAAGCAGGCGTGAGTACAGATATCTGCATTTACTGTAAGGAAAATGTACTGAAAAAAATAAAATGTATAGAAGTGTACCACAAAAGCTGTGCATCACTTGTAGTTTGCAGTGAAAACAATATGGTTGAAGAAAAGAACACCGTAAATATTGCCATTGATGATGGTCTGAAGAATCTGAAGATAACATCAGTGTTATGGACTACAGTTTACAAATGAAAATAAAAATGTGAAAACTGATGGTAGAAAATTAATACCCAAAAAGGCTCCTGGTAGGTAAGGAAATTAGTTATAAATTATCAGGAAACAATATCAAATTTCTCCAAGAAAACAAATCACTTCAGGAAGAAAAAGTGGAACAGCTAAAAAAGAGCTGGAAACAAAAAACGAAGCTGAATAGATTAAAATAGAAAACAAGAACACCCATTTTACTACTCCAATGAACACCAGACCACAGAAGATCTTCTACATAAACAGGGTGATCCAAGTGGCAATACAACAAGTGATCAATGCACAACAGGACTCAGAAACTATTGATGAACAAATTTCTGCTGAACTTTTCAAAGCCAAAAGCTTACAAAAATGGATGAAATCATCAACTCAGGAAAAGACATGAATGAGAGGAAAGTTTCATAAAAGTAACGAGGCGTAGGAGAAAAATTTCGATTGTTAGTATCCACAATCGTTTTCGGGTGATAACTGGACTTATTCCTCCGAGATCTGACTATTTATAGGTCATTGGAGTGCTTTCACCTATCCCCTCTTTCTTCTCTCCGCTTCATTGGTTTTAGCGAGAGATGACCGTTTGGCGGGAGTTGCTCGTTTTCCGCTTGATTAGAGGTTTCCATATGTTACGTGTCTCTACGCTAGCTTGGCTAAATGCGTTGTTGGACAATTTTTTGGTTGTTGCTTATATGTTATTTCTTTGTAATTTCAGTTTTTTGTTCAATGAAATTGTTATTTTTTGGTTAATCATTTCAATTTTTTACAGATTCTTTCAGGGATTTCTAATCAATTTATTAGACAATGGAAATACGAACTGATGAAATACACCAAGAAACATTGTCAATCATCTTCAAACAAATATATCTCTTTTATATTCTATTCAAGTGTGTTTTCAATACCGCTATTGGTTTCGTTATCCTTACTACCGTTATTCCTAAACAAGTGAGTATTTGCATCTTATCTAGTTTGTTTGTAGTAGTTAGCTACTCGTATTATCTTTGAATACCAAACCAGGTATTCCCCATTAGAGTGCATGTTGTTTATGACCCACAACTGAGATGTCTCAGTTTCTTTGGAACGTGCTTTCAGAATTTGAATTCATATTTCTTGTAATTATCATTTTTATCGACATGTTTATCTGAGAAGAGCAGTGGACAAGTCTCAAGTTGAACTCTGCAACAGCTTTTCTGTTACTAGGAGCATAATTATTTCCATTTTCTCCCTTTAAATTGAATTCATGCACCAGTTGCAAGTGCAAGATTCAAGTAGTGAGAATAAAAGACCATTAATGTTTTCATTGAAAATTATTGATCCAATTTTTCACTGCTTGGGACTCTTTCATGAAACCACATATAAAGTTGGTGACATTTTAATTCTGTGATCACTAATTAGTACTTACCACAATAAACTCAAAGTGTGATTTAATTATTCACTAAAAGTTCAATACTTGTTATGGCACGCTAATCATGAAAATATTAGGTTGTTTTAAAAGTTTTGTCCGTTTTTATGAGTCTACTTTAAACTAATATCTCAGTGAATACTTTTGCCAACTCACGCGCACTTTTGCGAAGGTAACACAAGTCGATTAATTCCGTCAGCATTAGAAATGTGTGTCCTGGAATCGATGAAGTCGACGAAGGCCGTTTTTGCCTGGTCCAGATTGGCGAAGGTTCTACCGGTGAGAAAGTTATTGAAGCTTTCGAAAAGATGTAACTATGGTCTTTTTTGGTGGGTTTTCGTCTTTGGAAGTGCCACTATTCATCACACGTAACGATTCGATCCATATAAGGATCGTTTTGGTTGCGCTGAAGCAAAGAAGAACAGACCTCGAAACGTGACAATTTCTGTCCAGCATTCTAATCGTCAGGCACCCAGTTCTTCCGTCATTCCACGCACCATTTGTGATGGGTCAGTCTTCACCTGGATTACTGAAAGTCGACCACTTCGTAGCTTATGTTCATGGCTAAAATCTTCGGAATTAAATTTGGCAAATCAACTTCGAACAGTGTGTTCATTAACAGTATCATTACCAAATGCCTAGTTAATTTTTCGGACTGTTTCGGCAGCGCTTTGGTTCAATTTGAATTCGTAGAGAAAAATTGGCCGAAAATTGCTCAACGACAGCATAACGTAATAAGCTAAAAAGAGAGAAATTTGGAAAAACAATGAACAGAATCAATGTATAGAGTACCTATGTACAATATTTTCTATTGATCAGATATACGACACAGACAGTCAGTCATTCCATTATCCTACAGTGTAGGGAGTCGAGACTGGCCTGAACGAATTGTTCCTTTTTCCTTTAGATGACTCAAAATAAAAAATATGAATTGCGAATTTTGTTGAAGGTTCAAAATAAACACCATTCAGCGATCAAAATTTGTTTCAAATAACATCAGTACATATACATATATCAATCATCGTGCATTTTACATCAATTCTAGTTGTGCTAAGGATGTGATTTTTATTTCAATATCCTGAAGAATTTGAAACGGTGTTGAAATATAAATTAGAGCATAGTGTTATATTGTGATATATTGTGCTCTCATATTTTTGACATTTATTCTCCATTGATTTCGTACAAAGTGCAGTTATTTGTGGTCATACTACTCCTTTGCACTGTTCCATAATCATACCATAACAGCTCCAAACGTATATATTCCTTTCAGAATCTGAAACAGAGTAATTATGCTCACAAATTTTTTGTAGGAAACATACACCTTTCGGTGGGCTGAAAAAACTTAAAATCTGGCCTAACTTTTCAAGAAACATATTTTGTAGTTCAAAACCATTACTTTGTTCTCAATACAGTTTTTGAAATATGTGATGGAATTGGAATTGATAAAGATATGAATAAAAAAGAGTTTGTAGTTAACACAATTGGTCGTGAGTTAACATGTTTGAAAATTTCAAAATGATATTATGTGTAAATTGAAAGGGGTATATTTTTAGTACAGATTGATTTTTGTATAAAGTTTATTTTTTAAAATTGGAATCTTTGGAAGATTCACACATTTCTATAAATATGGAGAAGTGGAAAGCCAAAACCTTTGAAGGTGATTGACAATGTTTCATGATGAATTTCATTAGTTCGGACTTCCGTTGTCTGATATTATATAAAATGATTTGAAATCCCTGAAAGAACTTAAAAAGAAGAATTAAAAATAAAACCAGAATATTTTTCTCATTGGGAAAGAAATATTTTGGCTTTGTTCTTCTCCAGCTTGAAAACATGTGGGAATCTTCCAAAGAACGGAAGAAAGCAATGAATTTCAAAATAAACACATTTTTTTATTTGAAAAAGGAGAAGTAGAAAGCCAAAATCTTTTTTAATATCTCAATAAATTGTTATAAACGATGTTGACAAAAATACTCACACTTAAATACAAAACGTTATTGAGAGCAATATTATTTGTGAAATAAATTCCTGCAGGTTTTCCAGTTATTGTCATCAAGAGCAGAAATGTTTTTTTGTTTTTCGAATTCCATGTATACCAAGGACATCCATACAAATTTTTTAAAATCGTTTCGTCCTAAAAAACGTTTATCACCACCGACTTTAGTAATAACATGATCTTTAGCATCATTGATTTCATTAATTTCTCTAGTCACTGTCATAATCAATGTTATGATAATATTGAATATATAGTGAATATTTTCATGACTGAAAGTACAGGGTCTTTCATCAAACGCTTCCTATCTTTAAATTTAAATAAAACAAAGGTGTGTGAGATATCATCGAAATTTTCTATTAGTTTGAAAGACCAATTGATGCCATTATGTGTGGAATATAACATCGTTCAAATGCAGAGCCGGATTAACCTTATAGTCTAGTTCACATGTACTTCTTTTTGTAACATTTTTCAGCCCTGTCCAAAAATTACGACCAAGGTGTCATTCGATCCGTATTTTTGCCTAGAAAGTTTAAGGGAAGGTCCGAAAACGCGCCGATAGAAATTACAAAAGTTATAAACAATTAAGTGAAAAAAAATGGGGCTTTAGATTGTTCTTAATATCTCGGAAAATTTTTGGTGGCGTTAAAAACCAATCACAGTTTCAAAATAAATTTAAAAAAGTTTTAGTGTGCTCCGTGTTTGAAGACTTACGATTTTCACATACACCAAAAGTATTTAAAAAATTCGGAACGCAGCGAGTAGGCGGACTGTTCATGTCGTTTTACGTTGAGGAAATCCCCGATTCGTAGGATGCTATCAGGAGCGTTTTACGACAGTGAATTGAAAAACACTTTATGCTTTGTGTTTACTCTGAATAGGAGTAGAGTATTAGTTCTTTTTATGAACACTGTCTTGAATACTTAACGAGAGAATAAATCTTGATTATAAAACAGAATTAAATAAGGTAAGTTTAATAATTATTTGTGACATTATAATTTGACCAATAATAGGTAAGAAGATCTTTATTTTTCTGATTTACACCTTTCTTTCAAGGAACAAAATGTCCGATCAGCCCGTGAAAAAAAAGCATTTGAGCGGTGCAGAAAAACGTAAAAAGCGGCTAGACCAACAAAATAAGCCTGATGAGGTATTAAAGAAGACGCAAAACCTTTTCCAACTTGGATTTGTTCGTCAGCCACTCGAAAATCAACCATTTCCAAGTACGTCTGCTGCTGATCAAACCGGGAGTTCGGAGGCGGACTGAGGAGATATTCTTAGGGAGTGTTCTGAAGGCTAACCAGTATCAAGAAACAGCTACTTTAGCAGGTCCCGAGGCAAGTGAGGCTGAGAACGACGTCCAATCACAATCACCACAACAAAACGTAGCCTATCAAGTTATAGAATACCAGAACGACATTGGCTTGTGTCAAAATATTACCAAAGACATACAAGATTATTGGTTTATCAGAGATTTTAACGAATGTCAATACTTTGACTGTGATTTTTCTGCTTCAAGTCGTCAATACGAAGATAGCAAAAGATTTTTTTCTCAGTCAATGTTTTTTCGTAAACATATTGTTGGTAAAATGAAACGAAAGTGGCTCATGTATTCTCCATCGACTGGAAAAGTGTACTGTTTACCATGTGTTCTTTTTGGTGGCGTTAAAAACCAATCACAGTTTCAAACAGGATTTTCTGATTGGAAAAACGCATCGCATATAATTCAATTTCATGAGAATACAGGAATGCACCGAGAATGTGTACAGACCCTGATTAGTAGACCGTTTAGTCAAGGCCGAATTGTCACTTCTATGGAAATTGCATACAACAAAGTAAAATAATTTTGGTTCAATGTTTTACAAAGGGTGGTGTCAGTCATAAAATTTTTAGCATCCCGTGGACTAGCATTTCGTGGCAATGACGAAATTCTTGGTTCCCAGCATAATGGCAATTATTTGGGTATTTTAGAATTACTCGCGGAGTATGATCCTTTCTTAGTTCTCATTTGGCCAAATATGGTAATGTCGGAAAAGGAAGACAATTGTATTTGTCTTCCACGATTTGCGAGAAACTTATTGAAATATTGGGGAGCAAGGTTTCAAAACATATTATAGATGAAATTATAATGGCAAAATATTTTTCACTGAGCGTCGACTCAAATCCTGATATATCTCATACAGATCAGTTGACTGTAGTTCTGAGATACGTTGCATCAAATGGAGAAGTAGCAAAACGTTTTCTAACATTTATTCCTATTGCAAGTCACATAGGGGAAGAACTAGCTACTACAGTTTTAAATTTTTTATATCAAAATAACATTGATATAAAAAATGCAACAGGTCAGTCTTACGACAATGCAGCAAATATGTCTAGTTGTTACAATGGTCTACAGGCGCATATTAAAACAATAAATCCTCTCGCACACACGTCCCATGTGCAGCGCACTCGTTGAATTTGGTTGGAGTACGTGCTGCGGAGAGCTACGTTGGAGCAATCTCATTCTTTGGATTCGTACAAGAATTGTACAAATTTTTTTCGGCATCAACTCACCGCTGGGCAATTATGCTCCAGAGCCTCGAAACACAAGATGAAACTGAACAATCGTCGTCTTTAGTTCCAAAAAAAGTGTCTGACACAAGGTGGTGTGCACGAGCCGATGCGACCAAGGCCTTGTCAAAATGTTATAAGAGTTTTCAGAAAGCTCTGCAGTCTATTGTTGACGATGAGACGCAGACACCGCAACTGATTCACGAGGCCAAATTTTTATTCTGAAAAAAAAAGAAAATGCCATTATGTCAGTTTTCTGGGCTGCCATACTGGATCGAATCAATGGTGTTAGTGTTTCGCTACAAAAAACCATTGAAGTTCCAACGGCTGTTGATCTTTTAAATTCGCTTTTAGATGTTTTGCTTACGCAACGAGATTCATTTGAAAAGGCATCATGATGACGGGCCCGCAGAAAAAGCTGTACCCAGGGGAAGAGAGAAGTTGAAAATCGAAACTTATTCACTTGTACTGGACGTGCTGCATTCAGAATTGACATGACGACTATAAAGCTATCAGGAAGTTAATTCTCTATTTGGATTTTCAACAGATTTCTTAATAATGTCGGACGGTCGGACGATCAAATCAAAGAGGCTTGCTTGTACAACACTTTGTGAGCATTATTCCGAGGACATTGAGCATGAATTTATAAACGAGATGGTGCAGTTCAAGTACTTCGGCTTACAATTGGAGGATGCCGGGAAAGATAACATTGTTGCTGCTGAAGAATCGTATGAATTGATCCTTAATAATATGGTTCAATCAACTTTCCCAAATATTATGATATCATTGCAAATGATGATAACAAACGAGACAGGAGAACAAAATTTTTCAAAATTGAAATTATTAAAAAATTCTCTTCGAGCAACAATGTCTCAACATCGCTCAAATTCATTGTCGATAATGGCAATTGAAAATGATGTATTGGAAAAGGTCCACATTGAAGAAGTCGTAAAAGATTTTATATCTAAAAAAGTTAGAAAAGTCCGTATTTAAATTAACAGAAGATACTGAAATTACTTCACTTTTTCTTTTGTTTTATGCGTTTGGTTGAATATATATTTTAGATTAAAAATAACTGAGTCGCGTTTAATTTTTCATGTATACATAGAAAACACCTAGACTTAGGGCGAAATCAAACGTACGCGTACTCTACGAGTGGGCTGCGCAGGTGACTCTGTACTAACACGCAGCCAACCCGCGTTGAGCACGCATAGAGCCTGCGTATGTCTGAACCTGCCTTTAGGACGTCATCCATGCCTATATCGGGAATTTCATTCAGGAATGTGGCCAGTCAGAGTTGGTAAAGAAAAGGGGCCTAAAAATTGTATTGCCTACAGGCCCATACAGGGTTAATCTGGCTCTGTTCAAATGTCCGCCACGGCGCCACGGCTTCTTTGGGTGGACCGCATTCGAAACGTCCAATTTTCCATGACTCTGGCGCATAAATCAGGCTTAATTCGACCGATGACATGGGTTATGTTGTTTTTCAGGACCGCTATGGTTTGTCGCTTATTTACATACACCTGTGAATTGAGAAAACCCCACAAGAAAAAGTCTAACGAGGTAAAATCGTACGATCTCATTGCAAATTTTTTTTTCAAATGTATAAACTGGGACATAAGCTCAGGTAATTTAATTTATCACAAACTTAGGTAAAACTCAGGTATTTGAAACGTAGGTACTTCAAATTGTAGAATGAGTTATATTAAGCATTGAATATGTTGAATTAGTTAGTAAAGACACGCCCGAAGAAGTCATTGTATGGCGAAACACGTGTTGTGTTTTTCTAAAATCGTTTAGTGAAAGTCTCACAATAAAGTGTTTTTTGAATACGTTATATCTCTTCATTTCAAGCGAATCGATAAAATCATGGTTACTCAACTCGACCGAAAAACTTATTGGTAACTACTACACATCAAACCGCACTTTTTCAAAAAAGTCATCTCTACCTTGGACCTACATGGAAAATGGTTTTTCACAATTTCCAACAAAACTAGACTTCCTAAGTTGTAGGTGAATGACAGACGAAATACAACTTGAGTAGGAACTAGTTTAGGCTCAAAGTGATGTATTTTTCAGTGTTATACTGCATATTTTATTTCGAAAGAGATTATTAAGAACAGGAAAAGGTGAATTTCCACCAAATATCGTGAAAGACAAATGCTTTTTGTAAAACAAAAACAATCCTGTTTTTCAGTTATTCTCTTGTTTGGAAAAATGATTTTTACAAACGTCTTTGATTTTTGTATATCCTATAACTTTTCCATGCAACTTTTTCAAATAGAAGGTAACAGTTTCAGTGTGAATCACGAAAAACTATTTTCCTACCTCGGATTGACTTCAATTTAGCCTTCCAGAAGTAAACACAATGTTGCCTACATTCTGTAATGATTTTTATGTTGCTAATAATTTTTCTTCATTTTGATTTTTGAATATGCTTCTGAACTGGTTTGAAATTGTCAATTAATAAGTGTTCCACTTATTTGTGAAGAATTCATTGAAATAATTGAAAAAGCAAACGATGTACTTACTTGTTCCATAATTCCTTGGCCACCTGTTATTGCTCCAAAGGCAATAATACATATTTGAACGGGGTAAGAGATTAAAAGTAGTAATTCACTTCTGTCTTGTTTTTTTAAAACCATGTTGAAAAGTATAATAACTGTGATTCCAATTATTATTGCTACTATCGAATGTAGACATATATCAGTTTTTATGAGAGTGTTAATATCAGCAATTCGCCTGAAAATATCCATAATGAAGAAATTCTGAAGAATCACACCCAGTACATACATAAATGAAGAGAACGAAGTAATACTCTAACCAATTTTTTACAACACAGATATTGGGGATACTTTTCAAATCGAATCACTTTATTTCTTTAAGACAACATACAGTTGTATAAGAAAGAGTCATGGTTACAACCGCATGGTAGTGCGGTCGGGATTTAAATGAAGAAATGTACAAAAGGAAAATAACAGTACATTAATCATTATATAACACTACGATAAACATGTTTACATAATAAACATGCAAAAAACACGTCAATTTAGATATCGAGAAGTTTAAAACCAGTACCAGTAGTATTTTAGGTTCAGCTCCCTCACCCCTAGCTACCCCCACTCAATAATTTTGAATGGGACCCCCCATATATCTTGCAACACATCATTTTAAAAATCTTGAGAATCCTCACTCAACCCCATTTGGAAAACTGAAATTGGTTGATCCGTTCTCGTAAAATAGGGCAAAAAGAAAATGAACTACAACAAAATGCCAAAATTTATGGAACCGCTACCACTGACTCAATAACGGTATGTTTATGTCTCTTTTTTACACAGAGTTTTTTGCTTTAGCTGAAAGTGAGATAAGGGCACACAGTTGCTTCCTGGCGTCATATCAGTTACAATTAAATAGTGAAAACATTTATTAGAATTGGTTATTTCTGATTTTAAACTGTCTGTCAAGTGGTGTCAGTTGCACTGACAATAATAATACAAATCGTAATGGTGTACACTTCACAAGAAAGAACAGAAATTATTTTTATTTATTAGTGGAGCGCCTGGGGGTTTTCACCTCGGATTAGGGTTATAGTGAATGAATTAATATGATCGATATGGGATATTGTTTTTTAAACTATAAATTGCAATGTTTACCCAAAATTTTTTTGTGCACTCCATTTTTTCATTGTTAAACAAATTATTATGGCGCACCGCCACACTACGCACTGCATGTCCGACAGTGGCTCGATCAACGGTATCCTGACAAATGAATTGGCAGAAGAGGCGCTCTGGAAAACTCCCCCGCAGGACATTCAGGATCTAAGACACAGGATTACTGACACATGCAGACAAATTAATAACGAAACATTCACAAAAGTCCGACAGGAATTCGAGAATAGATTGGACTTTTGCTTAGCTACCAATGGCGAACATTTTGAACACCTAATAAAGTAAGGTACATTTATTTTATTGCAATAGCTATTATTTTATTTTTTATTACAATTAAATATACTTTTGTCCTATTTTACGAGAACGAATCAACCAATTTCAGTTTTCTAAACGGGGTTGAGTGAGGATTTTTAAGATCTTTAAAATGATGTGTTACAAGATAGGGGGTGCCATTTAAAATTACTAAGTGGGGGTAGCTAGGGGTAAGGGGGTTTAACCTAAAATACCACTGGCACTGGTTTTAAACTTCCTCCTCGATATCTAAATTGACGTGTTTTTTCTCCCTGCTAAACGAAGTACTAGGGGTGGGAAGTTCTGAAATGAAGGAACTGTATACATAGTACACAGAATATTGACTTAAATAAAAATACTGATACACATTAAATACAAGTTCAAATTAAAAGTATTCTTTTAAAGAGTATAGACATTTCTCAACCAGGTATCCTTTGAGTTTTTTTTTTAAGTACGTTCATGTTTTAAGCTTTTGATAGAGGTAGGTAAGTTGTTGAAAATCTTTGCGCCGATTCGAGCTGGAGCTTTATAGGAAATATTGCGTCTAGAGAGTGGTAATCGTAAATCACCCTTACTACGTATGTTGTATTCGTGGAAATCTTTATTTATGAAAAACAAATCCCTATTTTTGAATACATAAATACAGACTTCAAGTTCGTAGAGGCCTGTACAGGTCGGAATTTCAAGCCTTTTGAAGATTTCTCGACAAGAATAGTCTTTTTTCACACCAGCAATGCACCTAATGACTTTTTCTGTGATACGAGGACGTTATTCGACAGTGTAGAGTCTCCCCATAGGCAAATACCATACCTCAGTCGACTTTCCACTTGTGCGTAGTATAAATATATTAATTGTTGCTGTGTCAAAACAACTTTGAGATTTCTGAATATATATTGGAGAGATGAAAGTTTGGAAATCAGGAGCTTGCAATGTTCTTACCAATCTAAATGTGAGTGAACGAATAGTCCTAAGAATTTACAGCTGTTATTTATAGGCGGAGGTGTGTTATTTGAAATTATATCTACATCCACCAATTTCCTTTGATGACTATGGAATTTCACAAGGTTAGTTTTGTCTGCATTAAAATGAAGAGTGATTTGATTGAACCAAGAAGTTAGTTGGTATAGAGCAGTTTCACAGGTTTCTTTTAGTTCTATTTGATTTTTGTTGGAAATCAGTAGAGAAGTATCGTCTGCATAAATAGTCATCTCAATATCCGGATAGGAATTTGCGATTTCATTTATGTAGAAAATAAAAAGAACTGGGATCAAAATAGATCCTTGTGGAACACCTATATTAATATCGGTATTGGCAGATGTAACATTACGAATTATATTATTTTGATGATGTTTCAGACTCACATACTGAGAACGACATCTAATAAGTGATTCTAACCATTCCAGACAAACACCTCTAATACCATAGTTATACAACTTTGATAAAAGAATATCGTGGTCCAGATAGTCGAAAGCTCAACTCAGGTCACAGAAAATGCCCATTGGGACCTCTCCTTGTTCTATATCGTTAATGAGATTGTCATAGAACTAATAGATTGCTCTAGTTGTTGATTTACCAGGTCGAAAACCGTGCTGACTATTTGTCAAAATATTATGCTCATTGATAAAATTCATCACCCTGTCCAAAAATCCATATTAGAAAACATCAGTAGAGAAGTATCGTCTGCATAAATAGTCATCTCAATATCCGGATAGGAATTTGCGATTTCATTTATGTACAAAATAAAAAGAAGTGGGATCAAAATAGATCCTTGTGGAACACCTATATTAATATCGGTATTGGCAGATGTAACATTAAGAATTATATTATTTTGATGATGTTTCAGACTCACATACTGAGAAACGACATCTAATAAATGATTCTAACCATTCCAGACAAACACCTCTAATACCATAGTTATACAATTTTGATGAAAGAATATCGTGGTCCACATAGTCGAAAGCTCAACTCAGGTCACAGAAAATGCCCATTGGGACCTCTCCTTGTTCTATATGGTTAATGAGATAGTCATAGAACTCATAGATTGCTCTAGTTGTTGATTTACCAGGTCGAAAACCGTGCTATTTGTCAAAATATTATGCTCATTGATAAAATTCATCACCCTGTCCAAAAATCCATATTAGAAAACTTTCGAGAAACTACTGCAAATCGTTATAGGTCTATAATTTTCCAAGTAATCGGGACAGTGTTTTTTATAAATAATAAATGACTATTTGTCAAAATATTATGCTCATTGATAAAATTCATCACCCTGTCCAAAAATCCATATTAGAAAACTTTCGAGAAACTACTGCAAAATGTTATAGGTCTATAATTTTCCAAGTAATCGGGACAGTGTTTTTTATAAATAATAAATGACTTTTTTTTCTTGAGGCTGTGGGAAACTTTCTTGTTTCGAATGAAAGCTTCAATAAAAATGTCAAAGGTCCTATTAAAACATTCATAACTTTTTTTAAAACAAAAAACATTCATATTTTTAAAATTGACAGAAAGTGCATTATACAATTTAAAATCATAGGAGTTTTTTTGTGATTTCATCAGCTTGAAACGTTGAGGTCTAATAAAATTGCTGTTACATGTATCATAATTGTGTGAAGAGGATTGCTTGGGAAACAAGTGTGTCTCATATATCATTTTAATACTACAGTCATATCAACATGTTTCAATGCGATAAGGTTCTTATCATTTATCACATAAAATCACAGAGTGACATTCAGTATTCACTTGGTTTCCAGCTCTTGGTGAATAGTTGGTATTTGTCAATTACGATACAGTTATGAGTTTCAATCTAAATTCTGGCGATTCAATTCCCTTGATTGGATGTGAGTGTTTTCCACAATATTATTTGAAATTGATTTCATGATTCTGCTAAATCAAACTTTTATACATTTCTAATTAATCAATAGCAATTTTCCTCAAATTTCAGTTGGAACCTGGCAATTGCAAGGCACAGAGTTGATAAGAAATACCCTTGATTTCGCCTTGGCTGCTGGTTATAGGCTTATAGGTGATAATTAAAATTTCTTACGTTCGCAAAGGTCTTGAATGTTTTCATTGTAGATACCGCTGCTATTTATAGAAACGAGGAGGACATTGGAAAAGCCCTGAAAGAACTTTTACCAAAGTACAATCTGACAAGGAAAGATATTTTCATTACAACAAAGTTATGTAAGTCCTGATTTCTAATCGACTTCAACAAATTAATTTTCTTTCATAATTTTATAGCTCCCTTAGAAGATAATGCTGATAATGCTTACAGCGCATTAGAACAATCTTTGAAAAGATTGGACTGCGATTATGTAGATTTATATTTAATTCATCATCCAGGGGTACTTGGGAAAAAGAATACAGTTGAGTTTAATTCTAAACTTCGCGATGGAAAATGGCAACAACTAGTTAAAGCTAAGAAAAATGGACTGACAAAAAATATTGGAGTTTCAAATTATAATGTTCGTCATTTGGAAGAACTGTTGAAGAATGATCATGGTGTTAAACCGTCCGTAAACCAGGTAAATTTTTATATTTTGAATTTGAAACATAACTTGCGAATAAAAAAAATTGGATGAGATATGTAAAATAGCTCGAATACGAAATTGGCATTTATACAGGGTGTTCCTTAAACACATGCTAATATTTAAGAAGGTAATTCTTAGACCCATTTTAAGGAAAAAACGTCCTATGGACGTATGTCCTAAACGCCTTAACTTTTGAGATACAGGGTGGCAAAGTTTTCAAAAATAATCAGTTTTTTAATAATAGCTGAGATAATTTTGTAGACATCTTTGGCATATTTGGTACATATGTTCCATGCCTCAAGGCGCATTTTCTGATGTACAATTTTCTAAATTTTCTCTTCCAGTGGCGTACGTACGAGTTTTGAAATGTATATTTTTGGCTCAAAAAATTAAAAATCGCTTTACTTAAGGATAAATTCCTTTAAAATCTGATGCGATATCGTGCATCGACTGAAAACAAACTAAGAGATCAGATTTGTTGCAAAATAATTGAGGATCTAAAAGATATTTGTTTGTTGTCAGATGCACTGTTCTCAATTAAAATTACGTCATAACGCAGCACCGCTTAATAATTTTTGAAAACATAAATTTAGTTATCCTGGAATAAATG